AAAAAAAAAGGAAAATAAAGTTCGGTCGTTTGGGTTTGGGATGTATGACTTTTTGTGAATAGTTTTATATAAAATTTATATTTATATTTATTTAAATAAATGAGATCAGATGAGATTTGAATGCTTTCGCTTCTTTCCTTCCCTTTTTTTCCTCTTTTTTTCTTTTCGTAAGTTTCAGGCTAGTTCGAGGAGCAAAGGTGGACTGGCTGGGGAAGGGTGTCTTTATTTGCAACCCTTTGCACGACGGAARCGTCTCTCCGTGACAGAACTCTATAAAGAATACAAATAAATGCCGCCAAGTACTAACCTGAGCGTGTTTTCCACCGCCCTACGACTTCGCTCGGACGGGAGAGAGGACGAGGAGGGGCCGGGGAGGCAGGGAGCCGCTGTCGCCCGGCGGAATGCAGATGAAGGCGCTTTTGGGAGCCCGGCTCCGGCAGCTCCGTGCTGCCCTGCAGCCGCGCAGAGCGCACGGCCTGAGCCCCGGCCCGGCTAAAGCCCCGCTCATTTACGCAGGGCTGAGCGCGGCGGTGCTAGGGAGAAAACACCGAGAACTTTGATTCATTTCCTCCGTTTGGGGGGTTATTTACTTATTTATGTTTATTTTTTTTTTTTTTCTCAGAGGCCGGCTTTTTCGGCGCTAGTTTGTTCGGCCGTTCTCGGCCGGTCCCCAAAAGCAGAGCTGCTCCGTGGGGAAGATCGAGGAGGGGGTCCCGGAGAAGCAGCTCCAAAGGGACCTCTTCCTAGCCTTTCGTTTCCTACTTTCGGAGGTATAGGCAGGAAAAGAGCAGACTGGAATAGCCACTTATCTGCCCCTCACGCCCTTTCCCTCAGGTGGGTTTCCCGCCTTCGCATTTGATTTCATCCTCTGAAGGCTCCAAGGAAAAGACTCCCTCAAATAATTCCGACAAGTCTCACGGTTGATCCCGCACCTGACCTGGTTAGGCTGGCAGGGCTGCCCGCTGCTTGCTGCCTGCCCAGCTAATGAGAGCAAGCCCAGCCTATGTCGGGGTGGGTGGCAGCCCAGAAGAGCAGCCCCAGGACAGCCCCGCGCTCTCGTGTCAACAGGGAGAGATCAGCTGCACGGGCAGCTCTGGGTGGAATTAGAGGCCCTGCTTCGGGCTCTGCCCTGCTGCCTGGTGGGGTTTGGAGCAGAGCCCACGTCCTGTGGAAAGCAAGGAGGAACAGAAACTTACAGCCTGCACTTGGAAAGCAAACCCCAAATGTCACTTTTCCTTCTCGCATTTACCTCTCTCCTTCAGCCTAAGGCCTCCAGAGAAGCCATGAACACAGATTGCAGCTGAGGGCATGGGGAGGTTGCTTAGCCCCATCTCCATCCCTGCATCACCAGGCTGGGAGGGCACCAGACTTCGTGGCTCCTGAAAGCCGGTCAGGTGGGCTCAGGTCTGCATCAGGTCCCCCGGGTCCAGCTTGCTCCTAAAATCCCATGCAGCCTTTCCCTACCAAGAGGTGGTGAGGAGGTCACATTGCCCCAAACCCTGCCCATGCTCTGGGTAATGTCACCCAAAGAGCCAACGAGGAGAGAGTCCACCGGCCTGCAACGCCTTGAGGAGGCAGAGTTTGGCCAAGAGAGAAAAATACTTATCTAAATTAAACTAAATTATACTATACTACACTTTATTATGCTACTATCACATTAGTGACATTCTTTTTTATTGCAAGGCCTTCCTAATGAAAGAAATCCCACTGTTTTCTGTTTAGAAGAGAGAAGCAATGAGGTTGTTTGTGCCAAGGCATCTCAGAAGACTCCCAGGACTGGATCCTAAGTCTGGAGAGGCTGGATGAATGTGGCACAGCAAGTGCATGAGAACTAACGTATAAGAAAAGTCCAGCACGCCACAGTTAGGAAAAATAATAATAATGAAAAAAAATAAAATAAAAAACCGCTTCCCGCTTAGATTTAATGCAGTATAGCCCAAATATGAGGTATTTTTCGCCTGTCAGCTTGATGTTAGAAGGGAAACAAGACAGTGTCTGCCACAAGGCAGACCTTAACTTGCAAACCCCGCGGGTACGGGAGTAACAGCGGCAGTAGCAGTGGCCTGAGCGACATGTGACACTACTCAGATGACAACTGTTTCTTTTTATGCTTCAGAGTGATCCCCGGCACTGTTTGCTGCAAGAGCAGGGAACAAGAAACAAACGCTGCCCTCTCGTTTCCCCTCGGTGCTTGTCACGACGACGTGTGCGAGCCCCGAGAGCACGACTGGATTTATCTTTAGCGCTCCCGTGGGGGCCATAATTTAGCTTCTCTTTGGAAACCGAGAACGCGGGCTTAGCCGGATTAAACCCTGCACCCCGCCGGTGCCCGCTGCGTTGCGGAGCTCAATCAAGTTTCCCAGTTTCATTTCCAGTTTTAGCTGGGGTGGGGGGAGACGGATGCAGCGTCCCGAGTCGCTCCAGCTGCGGCCCCAGCGCTCAGCGCTCCCTCCAGATGCTTCCCGGCGTCGGGAAAAGAGTAGCCCGGGGCCGGGGGCAGCGCCGGGATGCGCGGGGAGCGCCTGCCCTTCCGTGACCTTCCCGGGCTCGCATGAGCAAACCTGGAGCCGGCCTCCCCTCGGACTTTCCCTTTGCTTCCTGCAATTTAGCTCTAGTCCTCTCAATTAAAAACGGGGAGGGAAGGCGGCGGGCTCGTGGAGCTTTGCCTGCCGTGGTGCTATTCCCATGGGATGCACAGCGCGGATCCCTGCGGTGCCCAGGAGTCCCGGTGACGGGCGGCGGTCCAAGGCCCCGCGCCACGGTGAGGGGCTCAGACCCGCTCTGCCGCTCTCGGGAGCCGGAGGAGAGGAGGTACTGCCGGTTCCCTCTCCAATTCCTTGTGGGAGGAAAAGAGAAAAATATGTGGGTTTTTTTTTTCAGCGCTTTGTGGCTGAGGGAGACGGAGCGGGGAAACTTTGGGGCCCTGAGGGACGGCGAGCTCGGCAGCGGAGCTGGGGGCAAAGGAGCCCCGGGACGCGGAGCGGCTCCCGGCGCCCAAAACGCGCGCATTTCGGCAGCTGCATTTCGGCGAGGCAGAACGGGCCGGGATGGCCGCGGAATAACAAGCAGCCCGGCGCAAGCTGCCCCGCGGGCGAGCGCCCGCGCTGCGCGGATTTCACGCAGAGCCGCTGCGCGCCCCCCCACGCCCCCTGCGCGCCCCCCAGCCGGCCCCGCTCAGCACCGCGCATCCCCGCTCCCCCTCGACTCCCCCGCTGCACATGCAGAGCGTTTAGGCTATTGCAAGCGAAGCAATTGCAATTGGGGGATCGGAAGCGTGCGGTGTGTGCTCTGCAAAAATAACTAGTTTCAGATTAATGAAGGAGTGACAATTTCAAGGCTAACGTTGGCACTGCCCAAGCCAGAGTGTGGGGAGCTCGCCAGGCTTTGCTTTATATTGTCCGCTTTTCTGGAGAGCAGACAAAGATGGATAGAGAGACATTGAAAAGCGGGAGGCGTATTTCAAGCAGCTCAATGAAGAGGGTTGTCACTTAAAGACAAGAACCATAGTGCTTTGATGACTTTGTATTAGCCTCACCGTTTCAAATAAGTGACTCCGCTCCCTTGACGGAGTTCACCAAATTTAGTAGATGACACTTCAGTGGGGCTGCTCTGGGCATCGACAAGAGCCTGTAATAGCGGGGGGCGGCGTGGGGGGAACTCCTGGCGAATTTGGGGAAGAAAAGAGCCGCTCCCGAGCTTGTTTTTCTTCCCATTGCCGAGGGATCACCCTCGATAGCAGCGCGGTGCAGAGTTTCCGTGGGCAGCGCTCCTCAGCTCTGCGAGTGCCAACGCGGACCACGGCTTTTCTGCATGATTTTTTTTTTTTTTTTAATTTTCTTGGAGAAAAGCCGGGATCAGAGTTGAAAATAAAGTCGTGCGCAGTCTCTACCCGCCTTCGTGCACGTCCAGGGACAGACACACGCCTGCACCATGCACGCCTGTGTGTACCGGGGTCTCCGCTCGATGCCGCCGTCGGGTCCCTCTTTAGGTCGCCTCGCTCCGCGGCCTCCTCGGCTGCGCTGGGGACGCTCCTGCTGGATGCTTGCCGGGCAAAGCCATCAAGGGGTTCGATTTTTGTGCCAAAACCCGGTATTTTTTAAGATCGGGGACCCCCGACCGCTGCAGACCTCCAGGCTTTGAAGGCACAGCGAAAGGGCTTCACTGTGCGCTGGAGAGAACCGTTTAGTCACTGTTTCATTAGGCACTATTTGAACCTTGCAACATGTGGTAATTTCTGGGGCAAGCTGAAAAGGGGGGATTATGTAGGAGGGACACAAGGAAATTAGCGAACGGTTAATTTAACTCGTTTTCTGGTAGAATTTTCGATACATTCCTAATTGACCGAGGAGGCAGGTGAAGTCTTCAGTTCCAGGCAGACTCATTCACGGTGAGAATAAATGGCTCTTTTTCAACTCACACTGCTCACAATATATCATCAGGAAAAAGACATGCAATGAATATGTTGATTTTTTTTTTATTATTATTATTAATGGAATTACACCCTGCTACGCAGGTGTGAGGGTAAAAACCTATACTGCAATGAAATCAGATTAACAATGAAATGAGATTCTTATTAGCTTTCTATGTT